GCGGCTAGGGCTCAGGCGGGGCGGCTGTGAGTCGGCACGATCTCGCATCGCCCCGCATCCAGCCGGGGCATCTGCCCTTCAACGACTCAGCGTGTCCCCGCCCGCACCCCTAGAACCGCACAGCGTCCCCAGCGACGGCCACACGGGATCCTAGACGTTTGGCTACACTCCCCCCACCCCAGTTGGACGGGGTGGCCTCCGGAGCCCCCCGCGCAGCCTCCCCGCTCCCCCAGGCCGGTTTTCGGGTTATTTCCCTCAAAGCGCCCCACGTCTTCCCCATCCTGCAGGTGTGTGTGAAGGTGCTGTCTGCTCCATGTGTGTGGCCGTGGTGGGGCCCTGGAGGGAACCCCATTGGCAGAGGGACAGAGAAACCCCACTGCAGATCCATGCTTCCCTGGGGTGTCAGGTCAAATTCATACACCACCCACTGCAGTTTGGTAAAAGTGTATTCAAACAAGGAAATGGATCAGGAGGGGCTGGACCCCCGCCCGCAAACAGTGCAGGAAGGGTGCTCATGGCCTGGTGGGTGCAGGAAGCCTGGAGGACATGTACTGAGCACCTGCTGTGCGGGTGGGGGCGCGGGAACCTGCCCTTGTGCCAGGCGGTGCCTGTGCTTGGAGACAATGTGGGCCAGGCTGAACCCTCCCGCTCAGGGCCATTCCCTGTCCAGGGAGGGCACTGGAGGACGCCCAGGAAACCAGACAAAACCCAGAGGCCAAGCTGGGATTTTGTCCCAGCTGTTTCTGCGTTTGGGAGGCTCCTGACCCAAATCCGCCTCAAGGGAAGCCCGAGGGGGTGGGGATGGGGCCGCAGCTTCTGGCTGGCAGCTCCCCCCATTCTCTGAGCCAGGCCAGCCGGCGTCTGTCCACGTGAGACCCTCTGGACAGTCCTGGGGGCCAGGTGAGTTCGTGGGGCCACATCCTGCTGGTCCTGGTGGGGGTCCTGCCCCCCTCCCCACAGCTGCTCCCAGAAGCTTGCACCACCTTTGGCATCTTCCTGCCTGCCACCCCCTCCCCAGCTTCCTGCAAATCCTGAATCAGGGGGGCTTAGGAATTGGGAAACAGGCAGTGGGAACAACCCTCCCTACCCTCTCCCTCTCCGACTTCTTAACTCTGTAACTTCACTTTTGTTCTCCACCTGGGGTTGGGGGCGAGGAGAAGAGGCAGCTAGTTCCCTTTGCGGAAGCTCAGGGTGGGGGAGGGCCGGCTCAGAGGGTGGGCAGGAGACCTGGAGGAATCTGGAGTCACCAGACAGGCCGGCTGGGGTAATTTATGATCCCTTGCAAAGGACAGCTGCCTCCAGGCATAGTGGCCCAGGATGGGGGATTTGACCTGCCTCACCCTCCCTCCCTCCCTGCCTGAACCCCCCCATCACAAACACCACAGCAGTACACTCCTGTCCCCAGCACCCTCATGATAGCGGGGGACCCTGGCAGTCTAGAGGCTGGGTAACCCTCCCCTGATCTAAGCTTCCCAATATCCCTGGAGGGGCCAGTGGGCAGAGGTGGTGGGTAGGCTCCCTCTGAATCCCTAGGTCTCCACCCACCGCCCCAAGAGCCGGAGGGGCAGGCGGCTGCGAGAATGTGCTGAGTCCTAGCGCCCGGCTGGAGGAGGGTTCGTCACAGCTGCCAGGGAGCAACTGATGGCTGTGGGAGGTGGGGAGGCAAGAATGTGGTGCCCACCCTCTGCCCCCACCGTGTGCCTGAGTGTCCAGCCAGGGAGGGGACAGCATGGAGAATGTGGGCTTTGAGGGGAGGGGAGCTGGGGAGGGGAGGGGAGGCCCATTGCTGCCCACTGTCACCCCTGCTGCCCACGTCATCCCCAAGTGCCCAGCGAGTGTGTCTCCCGCCTTCCTCACACTCTCGGGCCACAGTCACCTTTCCTATTAAAAACTGGAAAACTGAGGCCAAAAGGTCCAGGGGTGAGTCAAGAGCACAGAGTTAGCTACTCACGGCCTCCCCCAGATTCCTGGCACTCCCCCCAGATCACGTAGCCCAGTGTTTTGTCCTAATGCCCAGCAGAGTCACTCCCAGTCCTGGGGCGGGGATGCCCCAAGGAATCCTGTCTTCTTCCCCCTCCCCACTGCAATAGCACCCCAGGAGCCTCTGCTGCCCATCTGCGGGATAGGTGTGGGACCTGCAGGCCAAGCCCTGCTCACCTGGCTCAGCCAGAGGCCCTCCAGGAAGCAGCTGCGCCGGGCACCCACTGCTCCGCACACAGCGTCCTGGTGCATACGACTAACAGGTGGCTGTGCCGGCCTCAGGCCCCAGGCCCCAGCTGTCCCTGAGCCCTGCACCCTGAGAGGAGCATGTCGAAGCCGGGCCGTGCAGTGTGGCGTGAGGAGGGGAGCCGAGGCTTCCTGGCCTGTGTTTGTCTCAGAGGAAGGCGGCGAGGGAGCTGGTGCTGTGGTT